CCTACACGGTCCGACGGCTGTTGGACATTCGCCGCCGGGGCCGTGGGTACCAGTATCTGGTTGATTGGGAGGGTTATGGTCCTGAGGAGAGGAGCTGGGTGTCCCGCAAGCTCATTCTATGTCCCTCTCTCATTCGGGACTTTCGCAGGGACCACCCAGATAAGCCTGGTGGTTCGCCTGGAGGCTCCCGTTGAGGGGGGGGTACTGTCACAGTCCAAACTGTGTCCCTGTTTGTTCCCCTGTGTGTGTGTGTGGAGAGGGTGTGGTGTCCCTTGCAGGCAGCAGCCTGATTGCTCTCACCTGGCTGTCCGAATCAGCTGTCCCTCATCATCTAATCAGGACACAGCTTATCTACTCCAGTCTCCCAGCAACTCACCGCCAGATTGTTTTCTACACCAGTGGTATTACATCCTCCTGGCTGCCCATTCAGTTATCCTGTCTGCGTGTAATTCCGTACTCTTTGTAACTAGTTTCTCTTGTGTTTCCAGTGCAATCCCTCGGCCATCATCCACCAGAGCTTCCAGCCAACCTGCCTGCTTCTTCCTGCATCCTACCTGCCTGCCTTGTAATCAGTCCAGCTTCTCACTGCCTACCTCCACCCTGGACCTCCATAATCACCAAACCTGCCTGAGTCTCCGAAACAATAAACCATTTAAACATCTTCAGTCATTGCCTGCGCCTGGGTCCTGTTTAAAACATAATCCTAACAAAAGCTGTATGTAAGTATTACACATCTTTTTAATTTAGGACAAGAACAAATCAATAATGCTATTGTCAAACATGGACATGAACGGTTAACATCCATAAATTCAATAAAGAGAAGGACAGAGCTGCTAATGTTACCATAACTTTAAAAGCATCCAGGATTGGCTTCTGATTTTTTTTCTGCAACCTTTAATGATGTGCTCCATAGACCTGGTCCTAGAGAGGGGTTTGGACAAAAGTATATAGTATACAGTATAAAGTTCAGTTTCCACCAGATCTGTGTTTGGATGAGGTTTAAGAAATAGCTTGTTTTTGAGCCTTGAATTTGGGTTATTTTGTCATGTCACATAAAGATTTTGACATCAACTTAAAATACAGTCACTCCTGTAATTAACTGTGTGCCTTAAACTGACCATATATAACAGTGTGGTATTATCTGCGGTTGGATTCTTCATTAATACAAAATTCACACCGTAGACTGACAAAGTTAGGAATGCAGCCATTTTAATTCTGCAGCGAAGTGCAGCAAGACTCAGATTTAAGGATAGTTTTTATTTTGATCGGAAAGTGCAGCAGAAAAAGTATTCGCAACCAATCGTTAAACAGATTCTCATGACTCCGGTGACTCCGCTTGAAACACGTGAACATGCCTCTTGTAAGCAGAACATTATAATTAGTGCTCCCCAGTGTGAATTTGGTGTGACTTTTTTGGACCTTCTCCTTTTTGTTTGGGTGTACTGCATGTACATCTCATGCAACACACGTCTCCCATGCATTTTCAGTTGGTGTTTATATGATACCTCCTATAGTATATGAAGAAACTAAAGCCACTGTTTACAGTATCTCTTTCAGGCATTATGTAACTCCTGGGCAAAATAAATGTGTGTGTGCCTGTTAGCCAATTACTTCCCCTGAATAGATGTATGTTTAGCTGGCTTTGTGAGATCAACACTGATGGGCTCAGACTGAAGTTGTTGAATAATTCAGTCTATTAATCTAACAATGGCGTGTGGAAACAAGACCCGTTTTGCAGGCCTACACAGAGACATCAACTCATGTAATAAAGCGCTTGACATTTGGACCTTGTAGCACCACAGAAGAAGAATCTCAAGGCCAACAGTATGTCTGGATTTCCTCAAGGTTTGCCATTTGGCTCCAATAATCTCCTCTTTTTGGTCTTTTAAATACAATTATTCTGAGAAGTGTGATGCTTCTTTTACCGGTGCAAATGTATAAGCCGTTGAATGTCATATGAAAGGATGCATAGGGAGGCTTACATGTCTTCCACTAATATACTGCCTGTTGAGCTGAAATGGAAGAATTGTAGGTGTTAGGACAGATTGGTGGTTCAATATTTACACAACAGGGTGTCTCCTTAGAAACAGCCTTTTACATTTGAATATTCTTATCATGCATTAATATGCAGTTGCTAAAAGAAAAAGAGATATACATTTTTCAATGAAATTATTATGAAGGTTTAACCATCAGTCAACACAATATGTTGAGACGTGTAAAGCTCACTTCAAAGGGATGTTGATTTCAAGTGTAGACAGCGCACACAATACCGATGATTACTGCCTGCTCCTGTCACACTGAGTACTTACTTGAGATGCTAGAGCAGACTCTGGATCCACTTTGGTGTTTGCGTCCAAGGAGTTCTTGTTCAATGCCTCTAATTGGGTTTTACAGTCTATGGACCTAAAGTAGAGGAGAAACCGGTGGTTTACATAATACACACACATTTAACTAAGCTACATACAACATTTCTTGGTGTGGAAAATACAAAATGTATACACAGAACATTTGTCCACCTTGAAATCATTGCAACATTAACACATTTTGAAGTCCTGTACACCCATAAAACATCTTTGAAGGTGTAAGGGAAACTTCTGTAGCAATGGAGAGTCAGGACTCAGAGAGACACGAGGAGAGTAAGAGCTTTGATGTCAAACACTGGTGGTTTCTTACAAGTATCGGCCGGAGGATTCATATCACAAGTCACAGCAGCCAGAGGTTCTGACTACGCGGGTGCATTGCCACATCAATTCTGCCGCGCCTCTCTTTCGATAGCCCTTTTAACTATTTCAGAGAGAGTAAACAACATATTTGGGGAGATAGACTAAACAGCTGGGCACACTGAATCACTTGCGTCTGACCCTTAATGGCCTCGAAGCCAGCGTTCTCACAACCATAAATCATTTGTGACCGAGAGTTGACCGGTCATAAACTGAAAATATCAACATATAACTCAGTAGCACATTCCTTAAGAGAGATAACAGAGTCAGGGTTGGTCATAAACGTCAACAGGCAAAAAGGTTAAATATCTTAGGAGTAAGGGAGAATTATTCTCTAACAGAAGGTTTGTTTTATTTCAAGATTTATTTCAAAAGCAACTTTTTTGAAGCATTCCTGCCTCAAATACAAGCAACCCTATTGTTGAGGCAAAAACGCTGATATAAGACTATTCTAGAAAAACATTAAAAAAAATCTACAATATCTGCACGTTGGGAACATTTTTCGTTATGGCAAATTTACTTTATTTATTCCTGGAAAACATAGGCAGAAACACTTGTTTGACCTGCATTAATAGATTTTTTTTAGGCCACTTGGGGGCACCACATGTTTCTTTAGCTGTTTAATGCTTCACAACTGTATGTTAATACTATGACAGTGGTGATTGACGACCAATTTGATCCATTGTTCCAATAATGTGAACATTAATTGAATTTCCAGGTACAGCCAGTCTCCTGTATGAAGGTCTGATGTGCTAAACGTTCATTAACCTCTTTGACCTCAATTAAAATCCTCCTTGCCTGCACTTCCTGTATTTGAGCAGGATGTACACTGTGAGTTGTGGATATGTCAAATATGGGCCTGATTCCAATGGATACAGATAGAAAATGTCGCTCATGTCTCATTAATGCGGTTTCATTAATGCCTGCTCAGGACAATACGTACCATAGGAATTCATTGGATGAATTTTTAGAAGAACGCCGCCTTTCCATCTTCCATTTCCTGTTTCCATTTCTCTCAGGGTGAGGATTCAGCTCTTCCCATTTATCCAACGGTGTACACATGGTAACTGGTGACAGCAATAGCATAATTAAAACATGTAAACATCACAAAACTGAAATAAAAAGCCATGCATTCTTTATTCGTTTCACATCAAAAACAACCTCACCTTTGATCAATCGAAACACTCTACATTTCAACTTCAACTCTGAAACAACACTCATCAAACTCTTATCTGTACTTTTGGCAAAAGCTGATGGCTTTTAGTACAAGATGGTTTTTTCACTTATGCAGTACACAATCTACCTCATTACCAAAGTTATCTTTTTACTTTCCATTAGTTGAAAAGCCAACATTTTAACACATGGAGTCTTTCTGATAGGACAGCTAAAAACATGGCTGACAATTAGTGCTGTGGGTGTCTAAAAGAACAGCTGCTCACTATTGTAACATGACATAAAGTTTTCCTTGTAAATGATACCAGGGTAATAATCAATCTCACTGCCATGAATTATTCACCACACTCTAGGAGTCGGTCTGCATAATTGGTTCTCTTTGAAGACTTTAACCTTTTCAACTGGCAAATAGGAAAGTAATTGGCCGTTTCCTCTTTATGTCTTTTGAGATGATCCCTTTTATTACAGTAAATTGGCTTGATCCTGCTTTGGGCTGCCTTAAACGCGTGTGAGGTCAGTTCCACAGGGGATGATGGGAGTCTTAGTTGTTGGTGTATGTAGGGCTGTGATTCGGAGATTTATGGCTTTCGAGATAGAGGCTGTTGCTTGCAAGATGAATCACAGCTGCTGACTTTGTGAAATTATAGGATTTCCTTTTTTTATGTGTATGGTATTTTATAAATATCACATTAGAGAAAATAATAAATATTCATTGAAAATTGTAGAGCTAACGGAAACTACTGTTAAGTATCTTACTGCGCTTTATGGCTTGAAACACTATATTTACTTTAGTATTAATATGTTGAATATAATATAAGGTATTGTTTGACATTTTTTATGCTAGTGCTGATATGGTTTTTGAAGATTTAAAACTATGTTCACGGAGAAACTTTTTTCATTTAACAAAAGAAAACACAAGCAGCTGTTCAAGACCTTTGCATGGATAAAATACAATCTCTAAAATGGGCAAGAGAACAATCTACTTCTAGTATCATCTCTAGTGTGTCTGTTATTAAGTACTTCTTCACTGTGTACCATTGTGTTTCCTTGTAAGATTGTTCCATGTATACAGTACCTAGAAACTGATGGTTGGTCTGCATTTTTGTCTCTAAGATGAACATGGCTTTTACCCAAACATTGTATATTAGAAAGGTTAATGCTTGCTGCTATCTACCTGAGTCGAGTGACACTCTCTCTGGGGTCCTCATGATTTCTTCTGTCTGTTCAACTTCCACCTGGATCAGCTCCGTCTCGTCCGTCTCCTTCTTCTTTCTGCGTAGGCTGTTCTTCTGGCTGCTGACCCGGGACGACAGAGGGCTCCTTTTGTCCTTGCTGCTCCTCCTCTCGCCGGGTTCACTGAGATCCAACAGGTCCAGTGTTGAAGACAGAACTGTGTGGGACAGGACATACTTAGTTTAGTTTGCTTATTAGCAAGTTATTAGTTTGGTTAGTTGTATTGCTTTATGATTTCTAACATGGATTGTTTTGGAATCTGAGAGATAACATTCAATAGGCTCACATTTTACAGTTGAGGGACATTTAAAACCAAATCATCTCGGACTATTATTATTCCTCTGCAAAGGAGGTTATGTTTTCGGTTCGGTTTTGGTTTGTTTGTCTGATTGTCAGCATGATAATGGAAAAACTAGTGGCCTGATTTTCATGAAACTTGTAGAAAGAGTGATTACACTTTTTTAAAACATCACAATCACAGCGAACAGGACAATTATTTTAACCAATGAAAACGACTGAAGGTTTGCTCCCTCCAAATGTACCTTAAGTTTTAAATGTGAAGGGCTGAGTCGTTCAAGTTTAACTACTAATGGCTTTCTAAATTGCATGCAGTTTAACTAGTCAAACATGCTTGTTTCTAACTAAATATTTGCTATATCGCATTATAGTATTTAGGTTCAAATGGATCCTTTTGGGGACTGTTATTGCTAGAAAAAAACCCAGATTAAATATCTCATTCCTCTTTCTTTTATCCTGGTATTATTTTCTCACCCTTAAAAATCACTCTTTAAATTCAATTAAAAGTCATATCTCTTTAATTTGTGAATGGTGATCTTCCGTGTCGTTTTTATTCTTAGATATGAAACAATTCTGCTTTAATTGTGTTAATGACAAGATTGTTCACTGTACCGACTAAGTGGTTTTTAACATTTTTCAACCATGCATAATATTTTTGAAACTTCTCTTTCTCTTGGTAATAAGACAGGAACACCGGTTTCACTTATTCAGCTGCATGAAGCTTTGATTCTGATCTACACATTCCCTGACACGGTGAGTAAGCTGTCAGGGGTACTTAAGCTGTCGCAGCATTGCCCCCTGGGCTGACATGGAAAAAGAATTGGCTGCTGCTCTTTTCAGAGAATCTAAATTTACTTCAGGCCTATGCACTGATAAGGATAAGGCCGCCCCTCGAGGAGTTCCTGTTTGAACAATTAAGTAATTCAATCGCAGGTTGTTAGAGCGCGAAGAAGGACAGAGCCTTCTGTCAAGGGGCTTAACTTTAGTCTGTCCGTCGTCCAGCGTCACGACTGCAGACTGTAACGGTGGTATTATTCTTATCTGATACCCAGGTTTCAATATTAAACTAATGGATGGTTGATTTGAGTAATGATTGTTGTATTTTTAAAATCTCAGGTAATAGCAGCGATGCAGCTTTCTCAATGTATTATGTACTCTATAGATTTTTTACTTAAAGGTGACCTATCATGCAACATGCACTTTTGTACTTATTTTATACATGAATATGTGTCCCCGGTGTTCCAGGAAACTCACCAAGTGTCAGAAAACAGAACCCTCTCTATTTTCCTCCATACCCAAATCTCTTAAAAAGGGGCTGCAACCGATCTGATACAGACTGATCCAGATTTGAACACTTCTGTGACGTCACAGAAGTGGCGCTACGGCTATTGGGCCAACTCCACCAATCAGGAGGAGACAGCCACGGACATTGCCGTTCGAAAGCGCTGTAGTATATATGCCAGGCCTGTAGATGGTGCTGTTCTCACAGAATCAGCCCATGCAAAGACAGTGTTAAAATGAGCGAAATGAGGAATGGCTAAATGCATGATCTGTTTGGTATTTTGAAAAATAAAAAGTATAAATATGCCTTATATAGGTATGGTCCAACACTATATTATTCAAATATAGCATGATAGGTCCACTTTAAAGTAAGAAAATCTACTTTCTACCCACTGATGATGTTTGTCTTTTCTACTGAATGCCACTTTTTTTCCACATCTTTATCATTTAATTATTTTGGATTAATTAGTAAGTTTTAGATTAGTTGTATTTGTTCTTGTTTGCATCAAATACAAATTAGCTAATGTCCTGAGTTTGGTTGCGTGATTGCTATAACTTTCAGACTGCATCATTGGAGGAAAAAAACACATTTACAGTACTGCATACAGTAGACTAACTATTAAATGGATATCTTGATACTGATGAGTGAATAAATAAATAAATCCAGAGCAATCGGTGTACAATGTACACAAATGTGTATAATTTGGGCTGCTGGGAGCCTCTAATGATCTTTGCCTCTACTGATGCGCCTGGTTTTTATGAGCCAGTATCAGTATACGATATGATAATACTCTAATGGTCAGATCAAGTAGGACATTTGACTCGCATCACATCAAATTTCCGACTTGATCTGACCATTAAAGTGTTATCATATCGTATACTGATGTTGTTGTGAACCAACACATGTGGATGGCGTCTGTTGTCTTCAGTTCAGATAAGAGGATAATAAGGCTAAAACAGTCTCTTTTTTATTGGTTATTTACTACAAAAGTTTTCTCCTTTCTTTCCTGGGACCCTGACTGTTTCTTTTGTGCAATTCGAGCTCAGAACTGACTGCCTAATTGGCTTGCTGCTGTTTCCTGACAACCAACTGAGAGCATTTGTTGACTGAAATCTCTGCGTAATTAGAGAGTATGCTTGTCTTCCATGCCTTGTGCTCTTTAGCTGACAAATACAATTACAAATCAGGGAGACACACTCGTAGGGATGGTTGCCTGAAGTGATTTCAGCATCAAAAGGAAACTCAAGCTGTTCATAAAAAGGCAATGATGTCAAAAATGTTTTGGCACCCTTGAGTCTACTTGAAATGAAGAGACTGTGAAGACAATTGCACATGTTTTCCTCATCAAGTAAATTGTATTGTAGATCGTAACTGGGCGCTTGTAAACTGTGTTAATCTAATGGATAACAAGTAGCTCTGTGGTTGCAAATGAGCTGATGGTGAGCAAGTAAATATGATTCCTGAACATTTAATCAGAGTTTAGATTGGTATCTTCACAACATAATGATGCCTGACAAACACGAGTGAGGGGAGAAATGGCACACTTATACAAAAACACTGGCACAAATGAACGTGGGTCACACACTTAGACAACAATAAGAATTAGCAAACGAGAGAGAGAATACATTGATCCCTGAAATCGCAAGCAACCGATTGTGTTCAAGTGAATCCAAAAGGTGAGAACCACTGTGTCTTAAGAGGATTCCTGTGATTATTGAAGCAGCATGTACTGTAAGAGCAAAGTGCTGACAAAAGAAAGAAAGGGATTTTGATTGAACGCGAAGGAGAGTAGATTTTATGCAGGTTGAGGAGGAGCTCTTGAATGAAGCCGTTTAAGCTTACGTCAGCAAATGATTGATGATGGATATTCTAAGGAGAGAAGAAAGAACATTGCAACAGGGGCAACCAGCTGATTAGGTTAGTGTATCGCTTCAGTTTCTTTCCTTTTATTATGTAGATTGAAAGCTTGAACAGACATTTTCAGAATATGGTTTATTGCTAAGTCTTGGAGCATCCTCTGTATTTACGATGTCGATTTTTACCTACCTTCTATCTCTTAAATTAATTGTTTTATTCATTTTTACTTTGTAATCTTTGTAAACCGTTATGAACAGCGCTTTAAATTTACACTATATATGAAATGTGCTACAGTATATTAAAAAAAACGAACCTTATTCATTTACAAGGCACTTTGTTGGTGTTTGGTATATACATTAAACATATTAATTGGAAATAAAATTACAGGCAAGGTACAATATAAGACTAGTATATGAATATATAATAGTAAAATATTATCTCTAAAAATAACCTTAACACCAGATACATATTGTCAATTTAAAATGTATTAGAAATTGCACAGTTTTATCAAAGGGAAAAAATGGTCATCATCCTCGAAATGAGACAAAAGTAAAACTGTATTGAACACAACAGGATGTAGGTTTCATGTGGATAAGCATATTTAAGCGGGTAATTATCATTCATTATTGATTCTCTTTGCTTGCTAATTCCAGTTTAGCTTTACTCCTGCCAGTCCGTCACAGTGTGAAAACAGATTGACAGACAATCACTCCTAAATCCTCTCCACCTGCATGTCTTTAGACTGTGGGAACAAATCAGAGCAGCTGGAGGAAACCCAAGAGAACATGTGGAGAACTAGAAAATACCTGCTCACAGTTTTTGAACACAAAACATTAATCCACCTCTTGGCACTGAGGATTTAATGTGCAAGGATTTAGTTTAAATGGCACACACCTTTTAAAATATTATAAATAGACTACATATTTTGAGATTCATGACCAATTATGTGAGGCCTACTTGATTGTCAGCAGGAGCAGCAGGAGGCACCGGGGAGACAGAAGGCTGAGAGTTTCCTGCAACATTCGCCCATACTCTGCCCGCCTGAATCAGCACAGTCAGCGGCCAGTTTGAAGATGACACGTGTCAGCTGTGCAATCTGTCCGAATCATCGTCACTCAAAAGATGGTGAAGCCTAGCGATCATGCTATCTATGTGGAAATCAAGATGGGACTAAGCATCTGTTAAATTCAGACCCTTTTCTCAATTCCTACTTTGACCTAGTTGTTATTTAGTTCATGCATTGTTAGGATGATAAGGTTCTATTAAATACAACCTGAATAATACACATGCAGTATTAACTGACTAAGGGAGACTTTCATAATGTTGTCTACTTGCCAAGATGTTCCTGTCACGCGTACACTAAAGGGTTACATGTTCGCATGGATTAAGCTGCAAGTCAAATCTTATTTGGCAGCTATATAATGCTTTGAATAATAGTAGTTGGGGTGTGTTACTTGATTTGTATTATCATTGATGCATTTTTACGTGGAATTACAATGCTCCGTCACAATGATCCATACTAAATAATGCATGGTCTTTGCCTAGTTACACCACTTTGGGAGTTGCTGATGCATTGAAAACAGAACTCAAAAGGGTGTTTTATGAAAACTCAAGTCCTTGTATTTGCTCCTTGTGTTCTTCGCCACTCTTTTGGAAGAAATACATTTGCGGAATAACATGTGATCTAGCTTTAAAAGTGCCGTACATTTAGCTACTGATAAAAACATTTAAGATACTTTATTATTTTACATTGTAGAAATTGAATTCGGTCTGTTTCTACAGTGATTAATTAGGTCAATTATTGGGATGGCTGAATGCCCATATAGCATCTTTTTTCTGAGCACCAGCATTTCCCTTCAATTATTCCTAATGAGTTGAGAGATTACGCGGTCGCCCAGAGAAAAAACAAATGCACTCAGCAGCACCCCGTACACATAGCCTTGCGAAAATAGCACCCTCCCCACTTATGTTACCATGGTTGATAAAAAACATGTTGTTAACAGGAGGCAGCATCCAATGTGTTATTCAAGACCCTCACATGTTAACAACCACACTATGGTATCAAAGCTGTTCTCCTCTACAGTATATAGAGGGTCTTGATTGGTAAAGGGCATCTTAAGCAGATTGTATAACTTGTATTACATATGTTTCCCGTCATCAGGTAGACAGACTTTTTTGCAGACTGTAAATCTACTGTACTGTACCAGCTGTGTTGGAAGTCACTGCGCGGGAAAGCCCATCACACTTGGTCTCGCAGAGGAAATCTTCGATGGATGGGCTTAAAAGCGGACGGCTCTCTTGTTGCTCACTCACCAGCTGTAAGGGCAAACAGATAATACAGTTCAGGCTCTCACTCAGCATGGAAAGAGTCCCTGGTTTGTTAACATTAAGTGTCATAAAGTATTTCTGGGCATGATACAGATTACACCATTGTCCCTATGCTGACACATCACAAGTCAATGTGACTGGGTTTCTTTTTAGGAAGTTAACACAAACTTGTTCCCCTTTCCAGCACATCATTTTTTACAGCATCTTGACATAGATACACTGGAGTGATTCAAGTGTGCAGATCCACTCAGATGTTAGAGATGCCACTGCCTTTTTAACAGTTATGAAAGTGTGTTCTGGGGTTGTGATAATGTTGATGTGAAGAGCACAAAGACACTTGACATGTAACAGAGACCACATTAAATCATGTGTTGTGTATTTGAGTCATGGCCCCGTGGCTGCTCTTTGATTCCTAGCTATGTGTGCTGGTAATGTTTGAACCCTGGCACATGGATGTTTAGCTGGCAGCATTAGTCTGGGATTAGTACTTTTGATGGAGGCTGATGTTGCCAAAATGTGCAGCTACAGCCAACTTTTAAAAGAGCTTTTCTGACAGAAATCAAAACACAGCTGCTGTTCGGCCATTGCTCATAGAGAATCATCTTCATCACACAAACATATTGTTTTGTTTGCATGCACACACAACGAAAATGTCAGCGAATTGCAGGAAATTTGACAATATTGGCATTTTACATGTACTGTAATCACCTGGTTACCGTAAAATCTATCTTTACATAGAGCTCGTGTGTTATGAGACATCTCCTGAACACCCATCGTATTTGTACATTTGCATTTGAAATGTGTTAGGGATCATGCCGTTGACTACAGAGGGGTGTTTTTTTTTTTTAGGTCATTTGGATTGATGGTGCACTGAGGGGATGAACCCTATAGTAGTGAAATAAATTTTTCGTATGTGCGCTTCTGCATGTTTTTCTTGAATTTTACTGTTGTGCTGTGAACACCAGTTTTATTTGCATTTTTATTTAGCCGAGATAATGTTAACAGAACTACATTAATCAATAGAAAGGTGTAACTCTTCCATCATAAGGGTGCAGATTTAGCCTTTCTGTTTCTTATGTAAAAAGCAGGCAGGGAAAAAAAAGAAGCAATGCTTGGGTAAACGTGCAACAACAAGCATGGAAAACAACGTCAGTCTATACTCTGTTATTTACTTGACTAATTATAATACTCAAAATAAATTATTGTCATTAGCCTCTGGTACTGTCCGTGCACTTACTTACTTAATGCCGAGCAGCATCCCTCAATCTCTGCTTATTGTCTTATTGTGCCTGCCATTACAAACACTTGGATTCAATCAATCAATAGTCCTGAATGGCAGGTCAATCCCACCCTATCTTTTAAAGGGGCTTTGCATTGTAAAGCATTATTTCAATCAGACTGGGTCCGGGTAGATACTGATCACACTTCCAGAAGAGATCTAAAAATAAGTCTCAGGTACAGAGTATTTACACAATGTTTCTCTGATTCACATTTTGTTTAAGAAATCAGATTACTACAGGATCGTTTACAGGTAGGCCTACTGCATGTACACTCACTTAAAAGGTAGGGTGTAAGTTTGAGAAACCGGCTGGAGATACACCTTTTGTTATATTCCATGGAATGCTCTTAACATCCCGATAGCAATGAATAGTAATAATAAGTGCTTAGACAAAAAATCCATAAAAAAATGTCATTGTGGAATCCGTAATACTGTAAAAAGTACGACCAATCATCTGAGCCAGCCCGGCTAAAATAACTGGATGGCCTACCCGCCTGTCAGCCTTCCATCTGTGCACAAACTTATCTCGTGCCCTCATTGGTCATGTGCACCACGTTCGTGTGTGTTGGAGGAGGGGCTCTGTAAGGAAGTGGCAGATTTTCAAATTCTAGCGATCTCGAGCCGGTATCTCAAACTTACATACCCTACCTTTAATACATCCCATAGTCTCCAATGAAATAACCAATGAGATGAGCTGGCCGAGAGAAACCTGCTGTGTCCCACCCAATTATGAGTTAACCATTATTGCTTAACCCACCTTCCAAAACCATACAATTGTTAATCACCTCGCCTGTGATTCACCAATTTGGAGGCTTGCCAGTGCAGCTGCAGAATAGGATACATCCATTTCATTATTGGTACCCTGAAGCGTCGGTACTCCAGGTGCAGCTGGCCACAATTTACAAACCCAGGCTTCATAATTTGGAGATGAAAACCAGTTTTGTCCCATAGAAAGAGTAATCCACCACCACTGTAGTCAGACTGTTTGCCGTGTACAAATTATAATGGAGGCAGCAAGGAAACATGACATCAGCTATTGTACAGTAGCTCTCAAATCTGTGTTCGCAGGCAGAATTTTAATGAAGGTGCTGAAGGTTTAATTAGCAATCAGTGAATGGACTGCATGTGCGTAATATGAAAGCTGGAGGAAGTCTAGCATGAACGCACTTTACATGACCCTACAATAAAACATTTATGATTGTAGTTACTCCTTGGTGTTTGCTTCCTTGTTTCAGGTCTCAAAGACACAACTGCTATATTGGTAAACAATAGTAATCGCATTATTGGTTTTAATATTTACACAACTATTGTATTAAGGCCTATACATTTTTTTGGGAAATTTGAACTACGCATGAACAAATAGGCTACTCAGTTGTTCCCCTCTATTTTGGCTACTCTCATTGAGATGGATACAAATGATGAAATAATAACATTCAACTAAATCACTGTAATGAAGATTCAAAGCCCCACAAACCAAAGTCTCCAAATAGTCATAAAGGAACGACTCTCTAAAACACCAAAATGAAATACGATAACTTCTTTAAAGGGGACCTATCATGCAAAATGCACTTTTGTACGTCTTTTATACATGAATGTGTCCCCGGTGTGTCAGGGAACTCACCAAGCGTCAGAAAACTCAACCCTCTCTCTTTTCCTCCATAACCAAATCTCTAAAAACGGGGCTGCAACGGAGCTGATACAGACTGATACAGATTTGAAGATTCTCTGACGTCAGAAACAAGGAGCTCCGCCTATATGGGCAACTCTCCACCTATCAGGAGGAGACAGCCACGGCCATTGCCGTTCGAAAGCGCTGTAGGTGGCGCTGTAGTACATATGCCAGGCCTGTAGGTGGCGCTGTAGTCTGCCACACAAGCAGTGAAGAAGACTTCTCACAGATTCAGCCCTTGCAAAAACAGGGCTAAAGGAAAGCAAATAGAGCGAAATAAGGCATGGCTAAAATGCATGATCTGTTTGGTTTTTTTCAAAAGGCATGGCCCTACAATATATTATTCAAATATAGCATGATAGGTCCACCTTAAGTTATGATTTATTTCAGGACTGTCGTATTAGACTACATTTGTTTTAGACAGCTGTACCTGGTGATGT